ACTAATGAAATTTCAAATTGTATATTCATCCCGCTAGTCGATTCCTTTTTTTATTTTTATGGAAAAACCTGTAGAAAAAAATAGACCAATTTCCATATACCTCGTAGACAAATTTATGTTTGTTCGATTTCCTGACACAAGCTCTCGTACGCCCTTTGAAATTTATGTCATTTCTGTATTCCTGTCTGTCTCGCGAGCGATCTACTATTCTCTTTGAGATGCGAATAAAATTAAAAAACACTGGACCAAACATTGAAAGCTGGTGAAATCCTCAGTGCTGATGCATAAATGATAAATAGTTCAAAAAGAATAAAATTATCTGACTATTCGTCAGATCAGAAAATTATTCTGAGCATTCTTAGATCCCTCGTAAGGATGTACTATTGGAGTTTCTTCATTGGTGGAGATAACTTCTGGGAATCTCTAGAAGTATTCAATACTGCCTGAAGTAATAATTTCATGAGATACGTGTACTATACGTGGACTATAGCCCCGTATAACTTAAACTTGTGAGAAACTTTATCAATGTTTCGACGCAGATAGAAACTTAGAAAACCAGCATCTGGCTAGATCAGAAAAAATTAAGGAATTGAATTTGTTTTTGATTTTATTTGAAAAACAACATTATTTTCGATTTTATTTTCATTTATGAAAAAAAAATATCGATCGCACAGTTGAACGAGGTATATTTAATATCTGAAATAAATAAATATATTGAGCTCTCATTTATAATCAGTCGAATCCGTACGCAATATATTTCCCAGTGCATCGAGTGACGTAGAATATTTTTAAAGCGTACAAAATATCTAAGTATTATATAGTAACTATAGCAACAACAGTAATAATAAATCCTCTCATTAATCGTACATCTTTAAAAGACTTCAGACAGTTAGTCGTTCAATTTCTGGCATTGTTATAAATAACGTGGAGAACTGGATTCCATAGAACAATACTACTGAGTTTGCATACTTTCAAATAAAAGCTGCCTATTGTTTCTCTAACTTCCTAAAATCATTGCTTTCGTAAATCGATATAATTCAACTACATCTAAAGACATTTATCGTCAGTTATATGTGAAGGTTAGAGTAAGTACTTCACGTGCTATGAAGAATGCCAAAGATTCTGCGAAGCATTAGCGTTATAATTTTCTAAAAAATTATATCGACTTGTTGGCAGATGCAGGGTGTGCAAATTTTACTAGAATTCTAAAAACAATCAGTTTTCACATCCGGTACCATATGATAAATCAAATTATTCCTAATAACATGTAGAAATCATGTGACACGTGTATAACCTTTTCGTTTTGTAGATATGCCATTCAACCAAGTTAATAATCCATCTAGTTGTATAATTTCTGTACTTGAGTTACGTAATATATTACTCGGACAACATTGATGTTGTTAACGAGGTTATGTATAAATTTCAACGTAATTTCAAATGCGAATTGACTTTCTGTATAGAATATGAATTCTATGAACTCGCATCTATCAGTTCTAAGGAAAGTTTTCTCCCAGCTTCTAGAATATCATTAACATTCAACTAATGCATGTGAGGGATTTAAATATTATACAAAGTGAGATTTGTTTTTTGGATTGAGTTTTTCATTGTTTAATATTGTTCATTTATATTATTGAAAGATTTATTTATGACAGTGTTATACCTGTGTCGTGGCCATTAAAATTCCTTAGGAGAATGAATATGTGATTCAATGAATTTTACGTGAATAGGAAATGGACGTAATAATAAACACGGGTAGAACAATAGCGTTGGTTTATACTCCCGCTTTAAATAAAGTCAAGGTCAAATGTTTCAAAGAATCAAAATTTTGTTTAGAGGAAAAGTCAGTTTATTTTCATACGATAGAAAATCTGAATCATTATCATGAATTTCTTCATACTCAAAACACTTTAAGGAACACTGTCAAGAATCTATTCAGATCAAACTAACCTATTTTCTTATAACTATATAGTATATCAAGTTATATTCCAAAAATGGTCCCATTCGTCCAAATTGTACTGCACAACACTCTCCAGTGGCAAATGAACGCCCTTTATATTAATAACACAAAAATTTGGTTCATTTCCAAAATAATCAACCCAATCAATACATAATCGTTTTCATAATCATTTTCAAGAATAATCAGTTGCATAATCAAGATAGATAAGCATAGTCCATATCCTTATCCAATGAAACCAGAATATATACTCATGGGCCACTTGAGATAAAAATACGTGTAGCTGAAATCCTTCATGCTCTAAGTTATAGGGTGTGTTAATGTTCACTTCAAATAATCTTTTACTTGACGCAATACAACATGAATGCCATAAAAAGCGAACAACAATGCATTTATGTACTGTAGTATGGATCATTTCGTGACTTTAAGTGTGTATCCCCAATGCGAAATGGCAGACGCAAAAATAAAAATATGTAATCGTTATCGAAGAAGCTGTATATTTCCTATATATTTTGTGATCTAGTACAATTTTCAAAATATTTTCTAGGGAAATTATATTTCCAAGAAACAGTGCTTCAATCTATATAAGATATTTTACAAACTTTTTACGGTACATCGGGTCTGATCTCTAATGGGATTAATTGGGGATACACGAATTAGATGCAGGAAAGGGTTAGGGTTCCTCCAGTAATTGCTACAGATAGATATAACTGTAAGATCCTACAGGATAATTAATGATTCCCCTAGGTACGATACCACCCTAGATATATAGATACGATATATCGAAATATATTCACGTAACAGTTGGGAAATCCTTTTATAAATTCTTACTGAAATTCTCAATTGGAGAGGCAAAAATTACTCGAGAAGTTGAATTTTTAGATTAGATAGAGAGAAGCTAACATTATAGATATACAATATACATGTAGTATATGAAAGCTTTCTGATTTGATTCATTCGAATAGGGTCCGCTGGTCGGGCGCCATGGCAGGCTTTAAGGAATTCTCGAAACTATTTCTCCACATTCGACCTCGGTACGAATATCCAGAGAGAATACTGGACGACCAATCTTGAAATTTCTCTGGAAAAAAATGTAATTAAATTCCATAGGACTTAGTATACCCATCCACTAATACTAGTAACATACTAGGTGACGTCAGATATGTTTATTAATAAAGAGTAATAGCATACTGTATAGATTTATTAATTATATACAATTTATATTATTGAATTTAGTTTTTGATAAATCATGCTTATTATCTATCTTCCATATTAATGATATAGCATGGATTGAATTATTCGATGGTTTTCTTTTGATCCCATTGATATTCTCATACCATCTGTTCTCTGTATTAAAGAATGCTAGAGGCAATGTAGGTACACATGCCTGCCGGTAGCTGCGCGTGAACAAACAATCAAGACTCTGCAAATACCAAAGAGTGTATACCGCCATGAAACCGTTCTGTGACAACAAACTCAAATTAATTTTTTAAATAAAAGTAAACTCGCGTGCTTATGGGAAAAAGAGATCTCGAAGCACAGAAGCGAAATGCGACATTTAATACACTCAGAAGAGTATCGTTACTCTACGAGGAAGTGTTATCGAGTAGACGAAAGGATTTCGAATGAAGCATTTTTCATAAGTATCGATGACACATAGACGTGAAATATCAAAAAATCAACATTAAAACTATCGATTGGCAATGGCCGATATAATATGATAAAAATGGATTCCGTTAATGTAATACAAGGGTTAACCCCACATTATATCTACATGGGTTTTGCACTTTTGAGCGAAGAGCCATTACCCTACTTGTAAAAGTTGAAAGGGTAAACGCATGAAAGCTTCGCCATAAAAAATTTCATTATCTCATTTGTTCCTGACATTTCTCCCTTTTACATTTTATCTGTAGCCAGTTTCCTGCGTACAACAAAAACTCCATGCACAGTGAGCCAAAGAACAATGAAATTCTAGATATGTTCAACATCTATTCAACGATTCTTCATTATGCACATTGAGTGTGAAGCATACGTCGTACATCGTATCCGAGAGAAGACGACTTTCGTATTCAGGGAATCAAGGATATAGTAGGTTATCGATGAGCAGGTATTATTTATCGTTATCTCATGTCGATACGAACCTGAAAGCGAGGAGTGAATTTTTGGATAAACCAATATAATCTCAGCTACTTCTTCAACAGAAAGTAATGAGAGTACCATTAATTTTCAAATATCGTGTAGACTGGATAGATGAAAAAACTTGATATTGTTCTCTTCCAGACAAAGAGATAAGTATTATACGGATTCTCATTCATCATGAAGTTTTCCATCTGAAATCCCTTTGATATCTTCCCACTCAAATGTTTCAAAGGCTTTGTGAAAATTGTTCAAACGTTCCGGAAGTGCGACATTCTGCAACTCTTATTCATCGTTTAGGTTTTATTGCAATTGCTTGTCTCATAAAACTGGACGTTGTCACTACGACCCAACTCTTGCAATAATAATATCGCATGGATAACATAAAAGTCTACATCCAGGGGGTAGTAAAGTTTGATTACTCGGAAGACACGAAGTATATCAATAATTTTTTTTGAAATTGAATAACAGGGGAGTGGGTACATGAGCTATCTGTCACACCCCAACTCAATCCTTTTCAAATGGTGAAGAAAATCGTATGACTCATCCAGGGTTAATATCGAAGTCACATAGACTCGAGGACGAATTTCAACTATACTTGTGTAAATATTAGGTATCCTTTACATATTGGCACCAGCGTAAAACAAAATTAGTGCCTGGTAGAAGGCAATTTATTTTGAATTTGACAAGTCGGTGTGTGATGGGTTATAAAAAAATGTAATCGATAAAATTCAGAGATCCACAGTTCAATGCGTCCGCTAGAAAATGGATATACTATCTACACATATCGGTAACATAGACAATGTATCAATTAGTAATAGCACAGGAATTACGTTGATTTTAGCAAAACCTTTAACAATCAAGTTTACATTAAATTCTTAATTATGGGTATGTATATTTTGTGTTTCAGATTAGTAGACGTACTTTACGAGGCGCATTAGTAGGCTAATCGGTGAGTTTATTATACATAGGTACATACAGAATACCACGCTGCAGCTAAATGCAAGAGACAACAAAAACAAGGAGCATGCTGTCTGTTGTATTTAGCCATTATGCGGGCTCCCCAAGTAATCAGAGATTGCATGGAATAACAAACAGCTCTAGAAGATAAAACAGAGCCTTGGTTAATAATAAAAGCTTGTGTAGTCACAAAATTTTGCTTCTTCTCATACTTGAGGAAAACATTTTTAAACGAATTATTGAATAAACACGTTTATTCCATGTAAATACCCGTAAAATAACAACTGTTCGAGTCTGATGAAGAACATAAAACTCTGTTATAATTGTAACAAGTAATTTAACAGATTAAGATATTAATCCATTTTCCTACAAATTATAGTGCTCCTTTACTGTTTACGATATTACTACATAACGAACGGAATTACTACGTCCTCTTTAAACGTGTTGTACCAGCTACCGCGTGAGGTCGCTTAAGTAATAGCAATATTTCCAACGTTCGATAACGAAATTTAATCAGCCACCCCCTGCGGCGATGCAGGTGATTGCAAATGTTGCCGGATAGCAGTAGGCCGCAAATACTGCTGATGGCAGCCTACATAGGTCAAATGATTTTGCATTATTAAAAGTATCCATAAAACCACCCTTATAGATACAGACATCTTCTTCTGCAAATGGTTGAATATTCGAGTAACGTACCTACAAAAATGACACTTCAAACAGAATAAGAACTCCTTTCTATTTTCCCATCCATTTCGTCCTCTCACGGTCCTGTTTTCTCCTAGAATCGCATATACTCCGCACCAACCATGCAGACTGATCCAATATTCCGCAGCAGGAAAATGCGGTTTCACACGTGCTAGTTTGGCATATATTATAACTGCTGCTATAACTTTTCATATATCTCATCCCATCGTAAAGAAGATATAAATAAAAAAGAAAATCATACGTGTATACTTTTTGTTTGGTTTGTCCAAAAAATATTGAGATTTTCTGCAATTGAGTTATTTTTCAATTTGGAACTTTCACTCCGTTTATCTTATATCATTTTTCTTTATTTTACACGCCCTTGTGGGCTCTGTGATATTTATGTTTTACATTATAGCAGGTAGCGATATGCGAATAGATGCTTGTATGCATATGTATATGCATAAGGAGATAGAAGGTAGAGGAAAGATCCAAAGACAGTACTTTGTGAAAAAATCTTGGTATCATGAAAAATAATTTAACGATAATTAAAAACAGATGCCTCGTTGTCAGAGATTGATGTATTTCCAGTGAGAGACGTATTAAGTTTAATAAGAAAAAAAAGGGCGGAATAAGAAGGGCGTTACGTCATATCCTAGAGCTTTTTCTTTCACGTTTTAAAATCCTCTACCGGTTGGTAAGGGAATCCCTGAAGTTAATAGAAATTACGAGTCACCGGATAGGTGCAAGTTCGGTAAGAAGTTGCTAAAATGGAGGATTTCAAGGGTGGAAGAGGATTAAGGGCGATAAATCCAAAAGTCTGTGAAGGTGGGTTTCACGTTTATTTTTAAAAGATCTTGGCGAGTGGGAAAATAATAAAAAAGTCACGTCTGAGCTCAAGAACCTTCGCGACTATGCAATACCCATTCTACAGAAATCTTCTTACGATCAACAACATTACTAAAGCTGTGAGAGCGTCATCATCCGAGGCTTTAATTTTACTGAAAAAGTAAAATAAAAAGAGTATCCATTCTACATGTTATCGCTTTAATATTTTTATACTTTGTAAATCGAGTTAATTCGAGTTCAAGTATAAAACTTCAACATGCGTTTATGTTGCTTTTTCTTCAAGACTCCACTCAGAGCTCAGCATTTCAATTACGAAGTTTACGCCGGTAAATGTGCCTTCGACATCGTTCAAAATGAGGAAAAAGGGCGGTGCAAAAGTAATCGTCGTAATGATGCCTGAAATAGATGTCGGCCGCTGAGACGCCATAGATCGTGCGCCACACCTTGCAAATATTTTACCAGACTTTAATTTCCTACGAGGCTGACTAGAACGACCACCGTCACGTCGGACGCCGTCGACGAGGAATTTTCCAACCCCACAACAAAATAAAATGATAGAAACGACCGACAGAAATGCGGTTTAAGAGAATTCTTCGAATGACGTCAGTGCGAGAAAGAAGATATTTGAAAATTCTGAAAACAGAGGGAATAGGATTTGTTTTTAAACGTGATCGAAGTGCTTTATAAAAATATCGATTTATATATACCTAATGAATATTTACCATAGCGATTCTGTAAAGCTACTTGTAAAGCTATTTCCGGAATTCCACCAACGAACCTCTCAGAAATTTATGTTACGTCTAAGTATTAAGTAGACAATGACAAGGAAATATGACGATAGCATGATTAAACATGCAACTTAAGTCCCACTATTTTCACGTCCTTCCTTTACGATCAATAAAATCATGGCAAATTCAGGGCTTCCTGTAAATATTGTGTTTTCGTTGAAGTATCCTTTGCGGGAGGATTTGTTCAACAACGGAAAATAGACCAGTACTGATATCCCTGAGGCACTCTTTCGAATTTACTCTGCACACAGTTACATTTGCAGTAGAGTATGAGAAAAAGTTTTGAAAACATGCTTTTCAAAATGCTCATTGAACTTCCAGATACTATAGGTAATACTATAACCTTATTTATGAAGTAGATATTTCCCTAGTGCAATTAATGCACTTTCCAGTTAGTGCTGATCTTCTCACAACACTCTTTGCTGCTTATTCGGCACAAGTTGGCCAAACTCCTTCAAGCAGAATGTCAAGGATTCATTAACATTCTGATTGATGGTAGATGGTGATACTCGACACAGTAGTACTATAGCATCTTCAACCATTAAAGTGCACTTTAGACGATAGGATGCCATTAATTGAAACTATCTCTATTTTCTATTAGAACGACTTATAGGCAACTGCATAATATTATTCAAATTAAGAAAAATCTGTTTGAAGCACGTCGCATGTATAACGCCAAATGAAAAAAGATAATCTACCCTATACAGAAATTCGAAGTTCGCTCTAGAAAAAAAAAAGTGAACAAAATTTGATGAGTGTTCCAATTTCATTTTTCTGCGCTTCCGATACAAGAGCAGGAAACTATCCGTCACATTTCCACTGGGAGAATTATTCCCAAGAGGCAGGAGGCAGGCTAACCACAACTCCAAATAGAGACTGCCAACAAACGGGAAGAAAATAATAAAGGCGAATTCTCACAGTTGACAGTGGAAGAAATAATATTCAGAAGAAATAAGATTAGATCAAGGATACATAAAAAAAATGCCTGCTAATGCATAATTTGTGCCGGTCTACGTAAATCGATCATACCTAACGTACGTACATCGTAATTAAATTGCGTAATCGTTACGTCATTAGATAATAACGTTAAGTCAACTGCATATAAAACGACGCGTGGATGACGTAGCAAACGTGACAAACGTCACGAACGCGGCCAACACGCGATCCACACATTAATCGCAGTTCAGCGCTCGTGGCAGCTTTGTAGCTTTAAGCTCGGTACGCTGTTGCAAATCGATAAGTAATCTAAGGGTGCGCGCACACGGATTCCTCATATTCCAACATTCTTCCCTATCGGATGAAACCTTTTCGTGATGGCCTATTTATGAGGATCCTTCCGGATGGATTTTCAAGACCTCTGACTAAGGAGTCCTGACGTTTTACAGTTTTCGAACCGGACGCCATTACTTCCCGATCAGTATGGCGATGATCGATTTTATGGGATAATAAGATGTGGATATAGAAAATCGCTGACCACCATGTCCACGTGTTGCGTTCATGAATGCAATGCTCTGGAAATAATATCAGAGCGTGCTGGCAATATATCTTTGGAAATACTAGAAGCTGATCATCTTGTTACTTGTATGAGGATACCTATACCTGCTATAGGATCCGATTGCTAACAATTGTACTAAGGCGGATCTGTGGATGATCTTATTGTTGATGAGGAGTCTAAGAGCACTATACCGTATAACAGGGTAGAGGTGTATTATAGGATAATGGTGTTATCATTCAAACCACTTGGAGATATTGCGTATCACTGTATTCGTATTACAAGCATATTCAATTTTGATATTTCCATATGCTTTTCTTTTATATTGTATTTTATTTTAGTCCCTGCTTTGTATTTCTGATTTATTTATGTAATCGGCGACGGGACAATGATAAGGGCACAGATAAAAAATTATTTTTACTAACAATGGCATGTTTTTTTTTCATTATAATAATTATTGGTTTGCTTTGTTGAAAATTTTTTATATTTTTACCATAGAAACTTCTACGCAAGCGCCGTTGAAATCTCGCTCAATTTTACTAGAATACCGACTAAATATTTACACGGAATGAGTGGTAATATAAGGGATGAAAAGGAGGATAAGATATAATGATGAAAAGTACTGATGAAAAATTTAAATTTTAAATATCGTATTGAGATTTTATGTAAGAAATCATTACACGCTAGTTTGACACATTGGTTTTTTGTCTCTCCTTTTGGTCGTGACATAACCAATAGCACAATTGGAAGATAAAGGTTACAACGAGACAGGCGTCAAATCGTGTAAAATAACGAGAAATAAGAAATAAGGGCCGTTCGTCTTTCTAAGAATCGGAGAAAACGAGATCAAATAAAGAATTTTCTTTTCTGGAAAAAAAAGTGTCAAACTAGTAAGACGTGCTTAGGATCAATCACAGTTTGACTTTTTGAGAATGTGGGAGTAAATAAGAAAGTTGAACTCAACATTCATTTGCTTACATATTTCACCAGAATTCACACTGATGAATGCTGTGATCCGATTTACCAACTGCGATTGCTGCTATTGGAATTGGCTGCACGAACTCACATCCGTAAAAGGACGAGGAACAATTCGCCAAATCATCGATTTTGAATGAAAATCAATTGCAAAGAAATTTCTTGCCCATTTACCTAGTTTTCAGTTAATTGGTCCACGTATAG